AGGAACAAACTCAGAAAACAAGGGCGGTGTATATTTAAAGGAAATAGCACAATTCGGAAGTCGATTAAGAATAATGAATCGCTGCCAGATGCTGCAACAAGTAAATCAGACAAGCACGAATATCAGCTTCCTCACTATTTGAGTTTCGTCGATTTCGAGAAGGCTTTCGATTAAGCCTACCCATGTTATGTTCACGGTGTATTGGATTGCTTGAAAAGCTAGAGAATCAAGAAAAGACATGTAAACCTGATTGCCATTATTTGCTAGAATGCAGCTGCTTGTATGAAGTTTAACGAGTACACATGCAAGCTCAAAATGGATAAGGGCATTCGTCAGGCTGATGCAATCATCGAAGTTATTCGCAGCAGCCCTGAAAGAGGTTTCAAAGGAACTCATTCGGGAAGCTGAAGATCACAAGCGTACGAGCGAACGTAAATGGATACTTCGCGTACCCCTGTGGTTTGTGGATAGCATTGTTATCCTCTGAAAAGCATCAGAGGAATTCACAAGAAGAATTCAATGGTTGAACGACGCAAGCATGAATGTAAAAATTGAATTCAACCTGCAGAAGACTCAACGAGTAGGTGACCGCGTAACTTTTCGAAGTGAATGAACTTAACCGTGAGGACATGCAAAACTACGTCTATCTGGATAGCACATTTTTGCAACGGTGATAGGAACATATGAATTCAACGGAAGAATGAAAAGGGCATGCAGCACTTTTGGAAGATCGAAAATGTTCTAATTCAGGATTCTGCCCTTGCTCAGAAAGTATTCGTTGGTTTCGTGCTCCCGGTGCTAATATATGGGTATGAAACGTAGAGCCTAAACCTGAAAGTTATTCGTAAACTGTAGACCTTTCTCACCGCATCGAGGGATGTATTTTGCGAGTTATAAGGAAACATAGGACGAAGAAATAAGAATCTTTGACGTCACTGCTAGAATGAAGAAGTAAAAGAACAATGGGCTGGATACGCTACAAGAAGAATTGACCAACGCTGGACCAGAGAGGCACTAGATCGGGTTCTACGAGAGAGTAAACGGACTGGACTAAGACCTTCAGATCGATCGAAAAATGAGCTGAAAAAAAATACGGAGGAAAACAGCAGATAACAGATTTTTACGGCAAACTTTTGGACTGGCCTTCATCCAGCACTGGATCAGCAAAGGCTGAGATTTTCTGTCATAAAAATTGAATGCTTCAGTTACAGTGATCAGGCAGCTAACGCCAAAAGGCAATGAACTCAATGTTTGCATGCGCATAAGCGCTAATCAGTCATCGAAATATTAATCTGTGATAGTGATACGAACCGCAGTTTAAATTTATTGTTCATTGACTTTGTAACGGTCGCTTGAATTTCAGCAAACGGAAGAAACGAAACGAGAAAATATTTCGAAAATGCTGAAAAATTATGTCATTGGTTATTTGAAAAAGCTGAAGGGTGGCGGAGCACGACCGAATTCCCAAGGCGTAGTCGAAACGCTTGTTTCCTTCATCTACAGCTTTATTGGCATGTCCGTGCTGTTGCTGGTGGATCACGCGTTGAGCGACACGCCTCTGCTTCTGCAGATTGGATCGTTCGGCGCTTCCGTCGTTTTGCTATTTGCCTGTCCATCGGCCCCGTTGTCACAGCCGAAGAACGCCCTGTTTGGTAGTGTGATGAGCGCAACGATTGGTGTGATCGTCAGCTGGCTGTTTGACGGTTGTTTTCAGTGGCTAGCTGGAAGTATCGCTGTTTCGGTTTCGGTCGCTGCCATGGCTTACACGAACACGTTGCATCCACCTGCTGGTGCCGTGGCGCTCATCGCCGTTTACGGTGAACAGAAAATACAAGAACTAAAATTCATCTATATCTTCATTCCCGTCATTGCCGGCACTGCGGTGCTTGTGCTCATTGCAATAGTGGTCAATAATTTCATGCCAACGCGCAAATACCCGTTGTTTTGGTGGTAGCAGGAAATAATCCCGATGAACACTGCCCACAACTGAGTAGCAACAATCAGCGGCTAACTAAGCGGTCGAGAAGGAGGCTTCAGCGAGACTCAGGCAGCTGTTTTCAAGCTGTCATCCTGTTTATGTATTATTGCGTAATAAACATATAGGACAATGGTGGCACTTCATCTATATTTCTGATTTGCCACAAATTCAACGAATAACTTAAAAGAAGCCAATGAATTCTTGGAAGAAAGTTCGAAAATGTGGTAAAATTGTACAATTGTGACCGAACCTACGCGGTATATTCATATACAGCTAAGTTAGCACTTCAGAAGGATGTAGTTTGCACTACCCATTTTAATGCCCACGGAACCAGAGAGGGTCCCACGCGGTTAAATGTACGTTAATTCATTCCTTTTTTCACTCAAAACTTCATTAATTCGTTTATTCATCCGCGTAATTTAATTGTCCGCTGTTCTTCTTAGTTAAATGACAAGGAAATCTGCTTTAGGAACCTTTACGATGCTTCTGAACCTTCGCCAATCAGAAAATTTCATGGTGTGAACTACCAAGACCTTATCAACGATGAGACCTACCATAGAGCTTTCCCAAGAGATTTCACTTTCTGAGTTACTCTTGTGGTATCATCATTTCATGACCAATTCATGATAATTGTGACGTCTCGCCCTTGAGAAGGAAAGGCTCACAATCAGGGATATCTCAAATCGTTTCGAATCTCGTCGCTACAGCAATTCTTCCAGGAAACCACATTCTTCCGTTGGCATCCTGTATCGCGCTCTTTCGATCAATATCCATCATTCATGTTTACACAGGTGAGAGTAAATACTTACGCCGACCGGACAAAAAATGACTGAACATATTGCAGGTTTACGAACTACCAGTTAAGCCTTGTCTTTAATGAATGATTTAAGGTACACATAAATGATTTCAGCATAATCAACATAGTTAGTCTGCAGATTGAGGTCGATAAATTTCATCGTCATTGCTATTGCTTAATTGACTGATTAAGAAAATCTCTCAAGTTAATTCTGCACCATAATAACCTCCATCGTCAGCCGACATATATCATTCTGTATCGGAAGGCAGACACGATGAAATCCTGGTTCAGATTTCCTTTCGCAATCTTGCATCATTCCCGGTTGTCTTGTTATGCAGATCCCGGCTATTTATTACTTAAATAACCGTGGCTTCCAAGCCAGTATCTGTTTAGGGAATTATGTAGAATTAAGAAATTGGTGGCACTTCCTTAAACCTAAAGCCATCATATATCATTTGTGACTAAATACGAAATATTTCACAAATCCCTATGAGTTTGACTTCGCTTTGACGGAATCTTCCCATAGTAACGAACTATTTGTTTCTGGTAGTAATTTGATGTTCAAGCTGGGATATTTCTTTTAAAGAGCAACTACGTACCACTGTACATATACAGTAACTACCAAGCTCATCAAAACTCATTCAATTAATTCACATCTCTCATCCATTGAGAATGATGGTACAATGCCGTATCCCTGCTTTCCTTTCCTATTTTTAACGACACTTCATCCTTATAGAAGTTTATGTATCTGGCCTGCGCAATAATGGTAGCAAATGATATCTTACGATGCAAAATATTGTCAGCGCATCATCATTAGCCTGTTTCAGTGCCATGTTGGAAGAAAATCCTTCCATGACTGCTTCACTTAATTTTTTCACTCGACTGCTGCATTCAACTTTTCGCACCTTGTTACCGCGCCTTCAGCATTATGCTTTAATTTTCTTCCCTTACGTCCTAATCAATTTTCGTTTGGAAGGAGATACTGCTTCAGTGAATACCGGAAGCTTTTTGCCATTTTAACGATCCGGATCCAGCAATTCAAGATGAGGTATTTTCTAGTCTGGGTCTTTGAGGAAATGAAGCCTCACCATGGAGATCTGTGCAGATGACCATTACAGTCAGTTTGAAATTCGTGTGATTTTCAACAGCGCTCTTCTGCTTGGTCGAGATCTATTTCCTTAATAATTCACACTTACAACGCTCTGGCCTGGTACATATCTTAATTCATTATAATCCAGCGGAACAATTCATGGATCAGAAAAGCAAAACATTTTAGGTGGGTATGAGTACTAATCTTGGATCTGATGTTTTTCAAATAGCCAAGGGAAGTGATAATGTATTTAAGTTCCTCAAAACTAGAAATAAATTTCTTCTATCTCGAAAGAAACGTGTCTTTACTTGTTTTTGTGTTTGCACACTGGGACGCCGACGCCATCAAGTCAAGTCCAATATTACTGAATAGGATCGGTAGAGTGCGGAGTTCAGAACTAATATGTTACTGGATTTGAGTCAAGACTGGGACACTCCTCTTTCTTTCCTCAGAGGTAGATAAATCAGTGCATCACAGAAAGAACTTGATACTTCCCTCTGTAGTGATCACTTAGTTGCAGATATCGCGTTAAAATTGGAAAAGAACCGTATGAGACCCGCTGTAACGGTAGCTGGGATTACCGCCACAAGCTTAGTGAAAAAGATTGCAACAAATGGTGTGAAAGGGTGATGGAGTCTGCATTTCTAATGATTACAAATTATGGTTATCTGCTTTTCCTTCTAGCATTGTTTATAACTGACTCGATGGAATTTTTCTTCTATATCAAGCAGGCTATGCTCAACACATGCAGAACGTTAAAGGTTCGTGCTGATAGACATTAATAATTATTGAACAGTCTTAGCAGTGGTTCAGAATATGCCCATTGCCTTCAACAAAGCCATATCACACCAAGTGTTTTGTTTCATGATGACAGTCCGTTTTCTGATTTTAAAAAGTTGCCTCTAACACGATATCATTCAACTGCAGGTGTTCTGAGTTCTGAAAATATGCAAGTAATATTATCTGACAGCATGCAATGCATACTTTTATCAGTTTTATTGCACATCATCATGCTTTTGACTTTGAAAATTCGTTCTTTTCACAACGCACGTAGCGTTCCGATTCAGTGGTTTAAAGCGCAAGTTTAAAGCTGATTAGCTAAATACCCTTTATTTATGAAAACAGATCTCCGCATGGGTTTACTGAGAGATTGCTAGTTTTCTAAACCTCCTGGCAAGAATGACAATCTCTTGCCATTTCACCAGATTCGTATGGCTTAGAATAGTCCGCTTGCTTCGAATAGCTTAGAGGACTGTTTATGCAGGTCAGGACTCCTTGGTATTTTGAAAGCTGCAGTACCTGAGTGCAAATCAGCATCACTTTGTGGGTGGAGCAGTCAAATGTTTGAATACCAACGGACATCGTCGATCCTTAGGCATATATAGGGAAAATTAACCTTTTATAATGTTATAAACTATTCGGACAAAATGGACTGAAGGGATTCCGTAGTTGGCTAGGCTAAAAAATGCCGATGTAAACAAAACATGTTTTGACAGTCGATCATAATCTACCGCTTAAAATCACTGAAACCAGAATACTACCTGGATCATAAATATCCTTTATTCAGTCACCAGTGTACCACTGCTACGAAGGAGCCATAGTCATTGAGCAAATAACGGGTCATTAAGAGACTCAGTTCAAAAACGTACAGAATTCAAACGCATTATTCTCCCGAATAACTCTACTCAGTATTTACCTGTAGAAACGGGTGCTAGAATAAAATATGCGCCTTTCCATTAGACATACTGTGGTTTTTTTTAAACTATCGGCTTGCTGTGAAAAGTCATATGAACATCGTTTACGTTTCGTCGCCTTGCATACTGTTTGTCGCCTACATCTACAGGAAGGTAAAAACTGTTCTACCAGGAAATATGACCAACATCCGCAAGGAGAAATGGGTGTCGCCTCTTGTAATAGAGTTGTCCTCCATTCTCAACAACGCTTTTGATTCTCCACAGAGATGATTTCGTAGGACCTCTGGGCTTTAAGACCCCCAAAAGGACAGTTTTCTTTCTTAATGGACATCAGCATCAGAACTCAAAATCATTGCGGCAAGTTACCTTTAAGGGCATCATTCGGTTTCGATCGAAACGCTTTCTCTAAGAGGGGCCTAGACCATTATGAAAGTATCGTAGAGTTTGAATCATCTAGCAGCAAGAGAACGCGATCGTCAACTGCCAAGGGAAGAATATTACGTACAGACAATGAGAGCAAACACATGTTGACATTACCTTTCGCGAAGCGAGCTATACAGCTGCAACACATTCTCAGAAGATTATCGTCGTCGTTACTTATTCTAGCCCCCTCTCTGTTTCCCTCATTTATTTTTTTACGTTTAATATTTTCCGTCCTAATTCACTGTTTTTACTGTTTTCTTCACCTGTTATGTCTTTTATTTTTCACATGATCACACTCTCGTGTGTGACGTTTACCCAATGCTATATCAAACCGTGTATAACGAATAACTTAACCAGTCGGCGTACTCTCATGTCGCCTGGCATATTACTAGCACTGACAAGAAAGGAGGACTTGATATGTGAAAGGAAAAGGGAGACAAATTAATGGTGCCATGTTGGATTGCTTTATCCGAAGAAAAGCCCAACAAATTCTGAAAAATCTATTCCCATTTTGCAGTGAGGAAACTTTAAAAACATGTAGAGAAAAAAAAACATCCGTGCATTGAATACGGCTCGCAAAATTGTGTATACACTTCAGCAATGCAGGCAGTAACAAATTTTTTTTCTTCCACTTTTCATCATTCCCACAATTCATGCCTTTGTCCATCGATCATTATTCTTGTTTCATTTTTCTTTGTTTAATGAAAATGTTGCGCATTTCTTCAGTTGTTTAATAAACAACAAAGGCCGCGGGGAATTTCGTTTTTTGCCTTCCGAAAACTGGTGTTATATGCCTATGTTTATTCTTCCCTGTGGCGCCGATTTTTCATATTGCAGGGATGATAGAAAAGAACTTATTGCTTAAAAGTCCCGCACAGTGCGAAAAAGCATTCCGTGAGAGAGTGGCAATTTCGCTAATCAATTTCATGCCTGTGAACTGTTATCCATGAAAATGAACACTGTAACGATAAGC